TATGTACCCGAAGTAGTTCCGGCTATCCCAGGAGATAACGAAGATACGCAGCCGTTTGTACCACAGCCGGGACCTAGTAAACCAGAATCGAGCTATGCAAACCTGGAAGAAGATCACCAAGATAGAACGGTAACGATCATTGATACTGAGAGGATTAGTGCTCCACAAGGGTGGGTCAGATACATCGTTATGTTGTAACCTAACGATAATTTTTTGCAGGAATGTTGAACAATACAAAGAAGTGCCTCAAGTTGTTGCACCGTCTTACAATAGACCTTTGAAGATCAGACCTATACAAGTGAGTGATCAGGTCTTGATACTAGCATCTCGTTCTCTTCTATTTTGTATTTATGTCATTCACGCTTTTCTTCAGGTGGAACCCTCAAGTTACGATGTATCACCTGCGCCGATAAAACCATATGCACCGCAACCTGCACTGCAACGGATAAGCATCCAGCCACAGCTTGGTTATCAAGGACCGAGTAGTGGTAATGGTTACCAACAGCAGGGAGGATATGTCCCACCACAGCAGACGGGAGGATACATCCCACCACAGCAGACTGGAAATTACGTTCCTCCACCTCCGGCTGGAGGTTACGTTCCTCCCCCACAGACATTCCAACCTCCTCCGCCACCAATCCTGCAGCCACAGCCAATCCAGTTTCCTGCTCCACCGCCCTATCAGCCCCTGCCAACTTATCAACTTCCTCAACATCAGCCACAACCTCAGCCGGTGAATATATTATAGAATAATCAGTCATTCAATAATTAAAGGGTAACTATAGTTGATATTCGAATTATTAGTTTCAGCAGGGAAAACTAGTGATATGTTGCCCGTGCAATGCAGAGACAGTAAAATTGAAACAATAGTAGCCTTACATATTGCAGACACATAGCTATCTGTTCACGCGAGTATTCTAAGGCAATGTTTGGGCACTTCGAAATCACTATATTTATCGACAAGTATACTCGACTGTCGCTTCATTTCAGTGTAAATTTGATTTAAATTACAGAAGAAAGATAGTGTAGGAAAGCAGCAGAAGATCGTCATAACTAATCACGATTCTTCATCCGCCGCTGTGACCGAAATAAGCTTGGTAATCCCCATGAAACTTTTCAGGGCTGTTGCGGAGGTCAGCTATTTAGCCAACAAGGTTCTCTGTGCATGCCGATGAGTTTCAATCCATGCCAGCGCCAACAGCCATTTGGTGGAGGAGCATGCGGTAAGCGAAGAGTTTTCTCCGGGTCATCGTCCTAACAATCTCAAATTTCACGCAGGTGTCTGCTCCTCAGCTTGTCCATCTGCCTGTGCACCTGCTCAAGGTTGTAACACTGGTGGTTGCTGCTCAGTACGAGTATGTTCTTACAGAGTGAATTTTTTGGGGCATTATTGAAACTCTATTTTCCAGTCACCTACTTGTTGTCCTCAGTCGACATCCTCGTTTTGTTGCAACCAAGTCGTGCACTCTTGCTGTGCACCGCAACAACGGTTATGCTGTAATGCACAGGTAGGTGGAGCGGTATATAGCATAGCTGTGTGTTGTGTTCGTGCACAGCTCAGCGGAGACTCTTTATC